AAGACCCTGTCTCAAAACAACAATAACAAAGAAAGAACCTGGTTGGGGCTGGGGGTGGATGCTCAGGCAGAGGCAGATTAGAAAGGGGACCTTGGACAGTGGCTGTATTGAGGGGTACTACAGGCACAGAGCCAGCAAGGACAGGGCAAACCCTGAGGACCAGAGTGCGGAAAGTGCCACACAGTGCCCGCAGCCCCTCTTCCACAGCGCAGTGATCCCAGACGGCCTCCACTGAGCCCCTCCCTCCTCAGCATCACCCCTCCAGCACCAAGCTGGAGGCCAGCCTTCCTCCTCTCGGCCTCACTCCAGTCCCCAAGCACAGCACAGGGCCAGTCCTGCAGCCCTGTGAGTAGGAATTCTGTCCAGGCTTCTCTCCTGGTCGGATCCTGCTGGAATCCACTTTCCTGCCCTTACTTCCTGCCCCTCACAGGGTCGGGGGAGTGGAGCGGGGTTCTGACGCTTGCTTGCAGGAGGCCCCATAGCTCTGGGTGCCCATGGAGCCTGCCCCCACCCTGGCCTGTGCCCCTGAGGCTCCACCAATCAGCACCTCCGGCCCCTAAGTCCACACTCTTCCTATTGCCCCACCGAGGTTGCACAACCCCAGAGCCCGGGCACTTGACAGTGTCCGGGAGAAAGACTGGGCGTCCATACCCTACTCCCTTCCAGACGGGAAGCCCCTCGCCCATTGGGTCTGGCATGGCTTATTTGGCCTCCAGGACGATCTACATGTGATCAGGCCTCCAGAAAAGATTTTACTGGACTGAAATCATCCCCTTCATACCTGGGATTTCGTCCTCCACAGTGGAGCAGCTGCCTGGAGCCTCTGGGCCTCAGGGTCCAAGGCTGTGTCACGGGCTTCCTCTATTAACCCCTTGTGTTCCAGGCCCTTCCTTTGAGCTTTGCAACCTCTCTCTGACCCCGGACATCAAGCTGGTCTGAGCCTTGTGCGTGTCGAGGTTCCTAGAGTGACGGTGGGTGACCCAGCATGGATTCCGGAGTCCTCAAGCTGCACCCTGAAGCTCGAGCCCAAGTCCTCTGTGCACTCGGCTCCACTGCGTGTCCCTCTGTGGCACAGGCACCCCCAACATCGCTACTGTCCCTGGTTCCTTCCTATGACTCCTAGGACCTGAGCAGCCTGTCCCTGGCTGCTTCTGCGACCAGTGTCCATCTGTTCCAGGCAGTGCAGAGCCCAGGGTGAGGCCTGCGACGATGTAGCATGGATGACACGGACTGTAGTTGCAAAGAGAGGCAAGGGGCTCTATCTCCTGTGCTGCCAGGCCCTTGCTGTGACCTCCAAGAACCTCCCTACGACCCCCTCCATGAGCCTGGGACCCGCAGGTGGCCAGGCTCCTGCTGCTCTCAGCTGAGTGCTTTTCCCACAGCCATCTATTGCCAAGGCCTTGAGGCACCTAACTGCTCTAAGTTCCAGGAAGGCCCCCACTTGAGCTGGCTGGGGAGGAGGGAGTGGCGGCCAGCATCCTCTCCCAGCCCTGGGAGTACATGGACAGGCCTGGCCAGAATGGGGAGATGCGACATCGCAAGTGATGAGAGGGTTGGGCACTGCCACTCTGGCTGGGTGAAATGACATCAAAACATCCCCTCACCCCCATTACTCCCCAGTGCCCACCTGCCTGCCTACCAGATCCCCAAGTGGCTTTAGGAGGCTCAGCACCTGCAATCCCATAAGGCAGCGGTCCCCAACCCTTTTGGCACCAGGGATTGGTTTCATAGAAGACAATTTTTCCATGGATGAGGCAGGGGCAAGGGGGAGTAGATGGAGCTCAGGCGGTGACACACAGCCCGGTTCCAGTGATGCAGTCCCCAAATGGGGACTGCAGCCATAAGGTCTTCCAGATGCGGTGCCCAGGTAAGAGAGGACAAAATATGCCTGAGCTTGCTTCCAGAACCCCAGCACCAGTGGGGACATTCACACTGTTTCCACAGAGCTGGTGGGAGACACCCAGGAGTGGGACAGCGCCGGGGAGCAACTGCCCAGGGGATGGGACGCCCTGTTTCTGCAGAGTGCTCCCCACGCGTGCTGGGTGTCGTCTTTTGGAGATCGACATCCGTTCCTAGCCCCTGCCATGTTCTCCCCGAGTGAAGGGGGCTGTCACCACATTTCCCAGTGAGATGTCCTAATGAGATCTGGAGGGCGGGAGGCAGGCTGAAGCCATTCCTCTGTGGTTGGCAGCAGCTGGTGACGGGGTCGACTCAGTGTCGCCCTGCACTGCCTGTCGCACTGCCAAGGTGGGCACCAGGCTGGGAGCTGGGACATAGGCTGGGCTGTCCTGAGCGTGGCGTCTGCGAGGCTCTCAGGTGGTGAGTGGCGATGGCAGTGGAGGGTGCCCTGGATGCAGTGGGGGATCTAGATGGGCCCCACGGGACCAGGCTTTCCCACCCAGAGAGCAGACAACCAAGACAACCAACCCCCAGAGCATACGCCCCAGGAGCCCAGGCCTCCGTCCCCTGCCCTAGGTAATAACCCAGGAGTGGAAGGAATGGAGGCTTTATCTCTGGCTCCGCCCCAGAAGGAGCGACAGTCTTGCAGTCTTGTAATCCCTGGGCCTTGGAGGAAGGACCGGACTGTAACCAGATATCGACAGGGTCAGATGACTCAGGCACGAAGCTAGGAGGCAGGGTGGCCAAGAGGCCCCACATGGCCAGGTGGTCACCGTGGAGTTTGGATGTGGACAATCTGTTTACTGCAAGTGACATGGTGTGCGGTATCTGGTCTCCAGCCCTGCTCAGCCACAAGAAAGAATTCATAAGATGTTGTAAAGCTTCGTGTTTGGCAGAAAAAATAAATTTTAAAAAAAGAAGAATTCAGAAGAAACCAGGGTGAATGGGAGCTGATGATCACTTAATGTCGTAAGAAGAGCATTAAAAGGGACTTCACGCTACACCCTATCAGAATGGCTAAAAAAGGAATAGCAGCAACACCAAATGCTGGCAAGAATGCAGGAAAGTTCCATCACTTAGATTGCTGTTGGACATATAAACTGGTATAACCCCTCTGCAAAACAGTTTGACCATTTCTTCAAAAGCTACATATGCAATCACCATACAACCCACTAATTCCTGAGGAATGAAAAACATATTCACACACACACACACAAAACCCTGTCCGAGAGGCTTCCTAGCAGCTTGATTCACCTCTGCCAGAATTGAAATCGGCCCAGACGTCCTGCAACAGGTGAATGATTGAACAGACTCCGGTCCGTCCATCCCGTGGACTCGTACGTAGCACACGGAGAAGCCAACGATTGCCACCCACTGATGACTCTCCAGGAAATGATCTTGACTGAAGGTTACAGATGGTGTGACTCCATTTATATAAACTTATTTGAGATGACAAAATTCTAGACATGCAGGACGGCTATCTGGTTTTGAGGCTTAGAGACAGGGAAGAGGGTGGGAAGGGAGGAGGTGTGGCGATGAAGTGACTTGGTGAGGTTGGGCTATTCAGTATCTTGACTATGGTGGTGGTCACACAAACTTTCAGGTGATAAAATTGTATAGACACACACACGATGGGGAGATCCGGATAAAAATCTGAATATCCGTGAAGTTTTACCATTGCGGAAAACTGGGCAAAGTGTACAAGGCATCACTGTACCATTCTTATAACTACATGGGAATCTATAGTTAGGTCAAAAATTCCAATTTAAGCAGCCAGGTGCGGTGGCTCACACCTGTAGTCCTAGCACTCTGGGAGGCTGAGGTCGGAGGATTGTTTGAGCTCAGGAATTGGAGACCAGCCTGAGCAAGAGTGAGACCTTGTCTCTACTAAAAATAGAAAACTTAGCCAGGAGTTGTGATGCGAGCCTGTAGTCCCAGCTACTCAGGAGGCTGAGGCCGGAGGATCTCCTGAGCCCAAGAGTCTGAGGTTGCAGTGAGCTGTGATGATGCCACTGCACTCCACCCCAGTGACAGAGCAAGACTGTCTCAAAAAACATTCCAATTTAATAAGGAAGAGCAGATGACTGCAAAGGCTTTCTGACTGAAGGCTGACTTTGGAGTTTGGAACCTTTAACCTACAGCCTGATAAAAACAATCAATTCATTAATTAAGGACCTTCCCATTAGCAAATCTCCCCTGACCTTCAGCCAAGAACTTTCCTAACACAGCAAGGGGAAGCAGGAGCTGGAGGGAACTGTGGGGGCAACTGACAGGAGGCAGGGAAGGCTCCCCTGGAGGTGACATTTTTCCCTGAGACCCACAGGATGACCAGTGGGAACCAAGGCTGGGGCCTGAGGGGAGAAGGTTTGCCGTGCTTGGGCTGGGCTGGGTGGAGCAGGGAGGAAGGAGTTTTTTTCTTTAAGAGATTTTCAAATTTTGGTGCAAAACACATCACATGGAATTCACCATCTTAGCCATTTTTCAGCGTGCAGTTCAGCGGTGTCCAGTACATGCACGCGGGTGTGCAACATGTCCCAGAACTTTTTCGTCTTGCAAGACCAAAACGCTGTACTCATTAAACAGCCATCCCAACCCCAACCCCAGCCCATTCCCCTCCCCAGCCCCTGGCAACACCATTCTTCTGTGTCTGCTGAATATGGCTACTCTAAGGACCTCACAGAAGAGTGTTCATGCAGCATGTGTCCTTGGGGACCTTGGGGACAAAAGGCCCATCCACGCTGTAGCAGGTACCAGGAGCTCCTGCCTTCTTAAGGCTGCTGATACGCCTTCGCGTGTACATGCATACCCCCTTGGGTTCATCATTCCTCCGGCCGGGGACACTGGGCTGCTTCCGCGTCATGGCTCTTGAACACGATGCTGCTATGAACATGGCTGCACAGGTATCTGTTCAAGTCCTTGCATTTCATTCCCTTGGATACACACTCAGGGTGGGATTGCTGGACTTGAGGAGTACTTTGTTTTTTTGTTTTGAGACAAGAGTTTCACTATGTTTCCCAGGCTGGTCTTAAACACCTGGGCTCAAGCAACCCTACCACCTCAGGCTCCTGAGTAGCTGGGATTACAGGCACGTGCCACCACACCCTGCTTGGAGGAATACTTTCGAACCCAGCCTGAGGCTAGCGAACCCTTGGAGCTCCTTATCAGAGGCTACACCTGCGGGTGTGTCCGCAGCCCGAGGAAGAAGGACCCACCCCAGGGCTCCATCCACCTCTGCAGGAGAACAGAATGCAACCTCAAGTGCATAGACCTGCCAGCTGCTCCCTGACCTGGCTGGCCCCGCACGGGCCCCTTCCCCACCTGTCTCTTCCAGGCACACGTGCGCCATCTTTCAGGTCCACACACACACACACACACACACAACACACATCCCGAGGCAAGAAGGCCCTGCTCCATGTTGTCACCACCAGCCCTACCCTCTCTGACAGCACTGGGACCCTGGGCCCAGGTTCCTGCCAGCCTCACCTGACAGGGACGAGCCTGGTGAGAAGCCGAGTGGGTGGCAGGGCAGCCAGGCCATGTCCTTTCCCACCTCTCGGGGCTCAAGCATCGAGAGGCCAAACCAGGCCCTGGCCCAGGCTGTGTGCTTCAAGCCGTGCCCCCTTCAGCAACAGGACAGAGCTCGGCCACAGCTGGCTCCAGGAAATACTGAACAAATGAGGTGAACAAAGGAGGGACGGTCCCCCACGAGACGCCATGAGCCGAGGTGTGGGTGCACCCCCACTGCAGGATGCAGCTACTCCTCACCCAGGGGGCAGCTGCCCCAGGGCCCCACTCTACCCTGCCAGACAGCTGGCTCAGCCACACCCTGTCACTGCCATTCAGCCAGCTGAGCTTCAGGTCACAGGGCAGGGTGGGGTCAAGGTGGCCTGCAGGGGAGGGGAGGGACTTAGAGCCTTTTACAGCCAGGGACAAAGTCCTCCCTGATTTAAACCCTGCAGCCTGCGCTGTAGCTGGTACCCTGGCGTCCCAGACTACGGCCACCCACAGACATGCAGGGGTCCTGGGTGCTGCTGCTGCTGCTGCTGCTGGGCCTGAGGCTGCAGCTGTCCCTCTGCGTCATCCCAGGTAATGAGCCCACCCCCCCAGGCACCTCCACTCACAGTTGTCCCCCGGGCTAACTTTGCTCATCCCAGATAACAAGGAGCCCCAGTCGCCCCCCAACAGGCCCCCCCCAGGCTGAGCGGCCTCCACTCTCCCCTGGCCAGGTGTGGAGGAGAACCCAGCCTTCTGGAACCTCAAGGCAGCAGAGGCCCTGGACGCCGCTAAGAAGCTGCAGCCCATCCAGACGATGGCCAAGAACCTCATCCTCTTCCTGGGCGACGGTGAGTGAGCGAGGCCTGTCCCCGCGCCCGCACCAGCCCTCACAGCCCTGGTCCTGAGACCACCGTGGACGCAGGCCAGCCCCGGGGCCCAGGCCTGACGTGGCTCTGCTCCTCCAGGGATGGGGGTGCCCACGGTGACAGCCGCTCGGATCCTAAAGGGGCAGTTGAATGGAAACCTGGGGCCTGAGACACCTTTGGCCATGGACCAATTCCCGCACCTGGCTCTGTCCAAGGTGAGGGCTCAGCCGCCTAAGGTCCTCCACGCCAGAGGGGGGTGAGGCCGGGGACTGGGCAGGAGGGAGGACCCAGCCCAGTTAGAGGACGAGGTCTGGGTGTCCGCCACAGAGCAGAAAGGGTGTCTCTGTCCCCAGACATACAACGTGGACAGACAGGTGCCGGACAGTGCAGGCACGGCCACGGCCTACCTGTGTGGGGTCAAGGCCAACTACCAAACCATCGGCCTGAGCGCGGCCGCCCGCCTCAACCAGTGCAACACCACGCGCGGCAACGAGGTGCTCTCTGTGATGAACCGCGCCAAGAAAGCAGGTAGGCTGAGGCTTGGCTGGGGGTCAAGGCCAGACCCAAGACCTTGGTCAGCCACCATGACCCCTGCCATTCTCAGGGAAGTCGGTGGGAGTGGTGACCACCACGAGGGTGCAGCACGCCTCGCCAGCCGGCACGTACGCGCACATTGTGAACCGCAACTGGTACTCGGACGCCGACATGCCTGCCTCGGCACTCCAGGAGGGCTGCCAGGACATCGCCACGCAGCTCATCTCCAACATGGACATTGACGTGCGACACCAAGGCCAAGGGCTAGGGCTGGGCAGGGGGGAGGGCCCCTCACTGGCAGCCTGACCCTGGGACCCAGCAGGATCTGGGGGTGGGGGGTATACAAGGTGCAGTCCAGGACAGGCCCACGCCCTCGACCCTGGCAGGAGGCCGGGGGACTGGAAGGAGGGGGAACAGGGGCCATCTGTGCCCCAAACCTCCCTAACCTGATCCTCTGGCCCCAGGTGATCCTAGGCGGGGGCCGCAAGTACATGTTTCCCAGGGGGACCCCAGACCCTGAGTACCCCAGTGACGCCAGCCAGAACGGAACCAGGCTGGATGGGAAGAACCTGGTGCAGGAGTGGCTGTCCACCCGACCGGTAATGGGGCTCGGGGGTGCGGGGGTCGCAGCAGGTCAAGGCAGGGGTGTGGGTCTCAGGGCCATGGCTAAGGCCTGGCTCTCTCCCTCCAGGGTGCCCGGTATGTGTGGAACCGCTCGGAGCTCATTCAGGCGTCCCTGGACACGTCTGTGACCCACCTCATGGGTAATGACACTTCCTGCCCTGGCAGCCCTCAGACAGCACCCTCCGAGCATGTGTGCACGACATGCATGCCATGACCCCCTGCCACTCCCCAGCCTGCCAGTCACCCCCAGTCCCCTTGTCCCACAGGCCTCTTTGAGCCTGGAGACACGAAATATGAAACCCAGCGAGACCCGGAACTGGACCCCTCCCTGATGGAGATGACGGAGGTGGCCCTGAGAGTGCTGAGCAGGAACCCCCAAGGCTTCTACCTCTTCGTGGAGGGTGTGTGGGCCCTGCCCAGCAGAGGAGGGAGGACGGCCCAGGGTGGGTCCAAGTGTCACCCCAGCCCTCTGGCCTTCCTGCAGGGGGCCGCATTGACCATGGTCATCACAACGGCAGGGCTTTTCGGGCACTGACCGAGGCCATCATGTTCGACTCCACCATCAACATGACTGGCCAGCTCACCAGCGAGCAGGACACGCTGACCCTGGTCACCGCTGACCACTCCCACGTCTTCTCTTTCGGGGGCTACACATTTCGGGGAAGCTCCATCTTCGGTAGGTCTGGGGAGAGGGGTGCAGGTGGTTGCACATATTATATGACAGAAATCTCTCTGGGCCTCAGTTTCCTCACCTGTCAAATAAGGGTAATGACAGCGCAAAGTGCCAGCACACTGGAGGCGCTCCCTGCCATGTGCTCAGTGCGACCACAGGAGCCCACCCCTGTCCCTTGCAGGGCTGGCCCCCAGCAAGGCGCAGGACGGCAAGGCCTACACGTCCATCCTGTACGGCAACGGCCCGGGCTTCGCGCTCGACTCGGGAACGCGGCCCGACGTCAGCGAGAGCGAGAGCGGTGAGTGCTCAGGGCCCCACGGGGCTAGGGCGAGGGACTCGCGGGAGGGACGCCGCCCGCCCGCCCTGAACGCCACCCTCCCCGCCAGAGGTCCCCACCTACCGGCAGCAGGCGGCCGTGCCGCTGTCGTCGGAGACGCACGGCGGCGAGGACGTGGCGGTGTTCGCGCGCGGCCCGCAGGCGCACCTGGTGCACGGCGTGCAGGAGCAGAGCTTCGTCGCGCACGTCATGGCCTTCGCCGCCTGCCTGGAGCCCTACACCAACTGCGACCTGGCGCCCCCCGCCGGCGTCGCCGACAGCGCGCGCCCCGGGGCGGCGGCGGGCCCGCTGTCCCTGCCCCTGCTGGCCGGGTCGCTGCTGCTGGCGACCGCCCTGACCGCCCCACCCAGGCTTCCGCTCTGGTGACCGCACCCCTGGCTCCTGCTGCCCCCAGCCGGTGTCCTGCCTCGCCCTCACCTGAGGCCTCCAGCCCCAGCCCCGGAGTCCCCAGACAGATCTCCTACCTCCCCTCTCCCGGATGACCAGCCTCAGACCGCACAGAGCTTCTCCCTGCCCCGCGGCCCTCCAGGGAGCGGGACCCAAGGCGCCCGGGGACTAGACCGGGACACCCACTCGCTCCGCCCAAGCCCGCCGGCTGGGGATTTGGACAGGCGGAAAGGAGGGGCTCACCCCACCGGTCCCTGCCCCCTGGAGGACCAGGCAGGCATCGTCCCCCTGTCCCAGAGGCGTCCCCCTCAGGGCCACAACCTGCCCGGGCCTTGTGCTGTGCTTTCTTGGGGTCAGTCTTCACAGCACGGAGGGGACCCAAGGACTTTACACAGCAGGAGCCCTGGAGAGGCTGCGCTCCCCACCGCCCTGCAACCTGCCTCGCTGGCCAAGGAGGCCGCAGTGGCCAGGATCCCCAGGGGCCTTAGATACAGTCGTCCCCTGCCCCTCACTAGGCCACTTGCACAGCCCGGGGAGGGGCTTAGCGGTCCCTTACACACGGAGGAGACTTGCTCCAAGTCACTCAGCTACTTGGGTGCCCTTCCCCACCCCATGCCGCATTCCCGGCTGGGAGATCCAAAGCGTGGCCTGGGAAGCTGCGGGTGCCGGCCTGGCAGCCCCAGAGCAGCCCTGGGCCCCTCCCCGGCCACCTGGGCACTGGGCACACCTTTCCCAGCAAAGACGACTCCCCGCCCTTGTGGCATCTCCATTCTCTGGGAGAGACAAAGCAATAATAAAACAAACTATTATATGATGTAATCCCAGTAATACATTCTAGAAAGAAAAATCACGCGTCGGGGGGCAGAGTGCGTGGTGCAGGGGTGAGGAGCAGACAGTTGAACAAGAGACCTGAACAAAGTGGACGCTTGAGCAGCACAGGACAGCAGTGCAAAGGCCCTGAGGCAGCAATCAGCAGGCACTGGGTGAGTCCAGTGGGTGGGTCAGAGTGGGTGGGTGGGTGAAGGAGGTAAAGCCTGAGGGGTAGGGAGGTGTGGGGAGAGCTGGGGCGGAGCTTGAAGTCTGGATGGAGGGTTATGTGACTGGAGGTCTTTGAGGGGGGCTGTGACTGGCCCCACTGGGAAATTAGCACTCTGGCTGTTGCCAGTCTAGTCTTTGAGGTGGAGGCAGAGGTGGGAGCTGACAAGCTAGAAGGGAGGTGCAGACTCCAAGTATTTCTGACCTCCATCCACCAACATCTGGAACACCCATCCCAATACAGCTATGCTTAGAGAGAATCCAACCTGCCCCAAAGAGAACATTTAAAAGAAGTATATAGGTTGGCGGGGTGGCTCAAGCCTGTAATCCTAGTATTCTGGGAGGCCAGCCTGAGCAAGACCCTATTTTCTTTTTTTTTTTTTTTGAGACAGAGTCTCACTTTGTTGCCCAGGCTAGAGCGAGTGCCGTGGCATCAGCCTAGCTCACAGCAGCCTCAACCTCCTGGGCTCAAGCAATCCTGCTGCCTCAGCCTCCCGAGTAGCTGGGACTACAGGCATGCGCCACCATGCCCGGCTAATTTTTCTATATATATTAGTTGGCCAATTAATTTATTTCTATTTATAGTAGAGACAGGGTCTCCTTCTTGCTCAGGCTGGTTTCGAACTCCTGACCTCGAGCAATCTGCCTCGGCCTCCCAGAGTGCTAGGATTACAGGCGTGAGTCTCCACGCCCGGCCAATATTACAGATATATTTGTACATTCACAAAGGTATAAAAAAAGCATCCTACACTCTGGAAATATTAACATTTGAATATGCTTCCGTATTTACTAAGATCTTGATTTAACATTGTAAAACGTCAATTTAAAGGCCTGGCTCTCAGGACAGTTTATTTCAATTCTGCATTTTAGTGGCTGTCCCAAAAAAATGGGAACTGAATGGGAGAAACAGGCAAGGTTAGCTGGGCTGACTAAATTATCATACTCATTTTTTAATTTCACCTACCAATTACGCAAAGGATTTTATTAAAATCAAGCATATTTTTGTCTTCCCTGTTGTCGATTAGTTGTCTTGCAAGCCAGTGGAAACTTGTTGCATGTTTGTTTTATAAAGGGCTCAAAACCCAAGGACCTCTACATTTTAAAACTCTAAGTATGAGAAACAGATTATCCTGGAATTAGACAGTGGTAATAGTTGCCCCATTTTGTGAATATTCTAAAAACTCCCGAATTGTGCGCTGTAAAGGAGTGAATTTTGCCGGGTACAGAGGTGTGCACCTATATTCCCAGTTACTGGGGAGGCCGAGGCAGGAGGCTCGAGGTTTCAGTGCCTCAAGATCACACCTGTGAACAGCCACTGCACTCCAGCCTGGGCAACATAGTGAGACGACGTCTCTAAAAATAAAAGTGTCAATTTTATGGTATGTAAATTACATCTAAATTTTTTTAATAGATTAGATTAGACAGTTTCTGCTTTCAGGCTGTTTTAATGTGTAGGGATGAGGATTATTAGCAGTCTAATATGGTTTTAGCCACAAAATCACACGTCAATGAAAACTTTTACGAAGTTCTAAAAAATGCTCTTTCTTCCTTTTGCCAAGAATGCAATGAAAAATAAATAAATATTAAAATTTAAAATGCCCTTTCCTTAGCAGGCATTTTCATTCAAAGATGATACTTTCTCATTTTTTCATTAAAAGGACATCTTTGCCTTGAAGGGACAGACGCAGGGACAGTTGGACAGACAGTGCAGTTATTTTGTCAGGTTGTTACCGAATGCCTGTGACTGACAGTTCCCGTCACCTTAAGAAATGTCAGCATGTTGGTCCTTAAGAAGGAGAGAGGGAAAGTTAGGAAGAGAGAACGAGAACCCTTGGGACAGTTCTTTACAGTTCTTCGCCATAAAGATGACTCACGCTGTGTGGCTGGAAGGTTTTCAGGTCACACCCAATGTCATTACCAAGTACTATGAAGACCCTACTCTAATGTGGCGATCTTGATTTTATAAAATTGACCCCGCTGGCAGCTCCTACAGCCTCCCATCTGCCCTCCCGGCTTCTGCTTCCTTCCTGCAACGGCTGGACTGCGCGTGAACCAGCGAGTGAGCTTTGCAGGCGATGCTACTTCTGCACCCTGACGCTTAGCCGGAATCCTTTTGCACAAAATCCTTTCTGAGTAGCTGTTCCATCAGTGGTTGCATATTTCCATGGTTTTCCCCAGATGACGTTGTTTTTATCAAACAAGGCATTTACTGTTGGCAATATATCTTCTCTGCCATATCTTCCCTTTAGTGGCTCACAAAAAGAAGAAGAGGTTTGTGCATTTCTGTTCCTTTATTTGAACAGAAACCAGCAGATACCTTACGCTGAGACGCGGGGGAACATCTGTGCGTTCAGCCCGCCGTGCAGCGAGCCTCCCACACTGGGTAATTTGCCCTCACTCGCCTCCCTTCCAGTCCACGGCAGCGTTTCTCTACATCTTCCAGCACCTCTTGCTGACAGAGAAATGCCTTTCGGTTTGTCGACAGATCATTTACTGCTCATTGTTTCTGCCATTTTTACTGCAACAGAAAGAATAAGTGTCTGCCTGGTGGTAGGTGTGTTTTGTCTTAATATTTATCATTGCTTAGGGAAATAGCAAAACGTACCGAGCTGAACAGCACCTAACTTTAAACAGGGCTGGGAGGAAATTGCTGGGGCTGCACCCCGCTGTTGGCAGACACCACGAGCACAGGCACCAGGGCGACCTCCCCAGTAAGACAGGCTGGGGCTGCCTCCCAGGCTTTCGTTTTGCTTATTTTTTGTAGTAGGGGCTAACTTTTTTTTTTGAGACAAAGTCTCAAAGGGCTAGAGTGCTGTGGCGTCAGCCTAGCTCACAGCAACCTCAAAATTCCTGGGCTGAGGTGATCCTCCTGCCTCAGCCTCCCCAGTACCTGGGACTACAGGCATGTGCCACTGTGCCCGGCTAATTTTTTCTATATATATTTTTAGTTTCTAGCCTTTTCTATATATTTTTAGTTTGCCAATTAATTTCTTTCTATTTTAGTAGAGACAGGGTCTCACTCTTGCTGAGGCTGGTTTTGAACTCCTGACCTTGAGCGATCCTCGGCCTCCCAGGGTGCTACGATTACAGGCGTGAGCCACTGAGCCCAGCTAGGGGCTAACTTATTGTCAGGTCCTTACCTCGGGGTGACAGGAGCTCTCAACAGGAGTCATAAAGAAATCTCAGGGCAGCCTCTTCTGTCGTTGTTCCCCCCGCCTGGGATTATTGGTGTTATTTGCAGTTTCTTCACAGGAATCTTCTGTAAGCCACTTGACAATTTTGGAGGATGAGTTTGGGTAAAACTAGATCATATAATCCATAAATCCACTTAGGCAGACACACTAAGCTCTAATCCGTCCCAAGCGCTGAAAATGTGCGCGGGGAGGGTGCTGTGTGAAGCCCTGGCCCGCAGCGCCCGGTTCTGTTCATCTGGGTCACCTGAGACTGCGGGGGGGGGGGGGGCAAGCTGAGGGTAAACATGCGGCGTGGGCTCCACATGAAATACGAGCAGCGCTGTCCCTGTCTCAGGGTGCGCCCTCCCAGCACCGGGCTGTGGCAAGGCTCATGGAGGGCCAGCGCAGGGCAGACACTCAGGAGGGCCGATGTCCTTTAGCCAAACCCCTGAGGCCCAGGTGGGTTCCAACATACTTGGCCCTGGGCAGGCCTATCAGGCCAAACCGCCCCCGCCCCCAGGTCCAGTCCCCACCACACCCGGACCCACTGCTCAGGGATCCCTCTTGAACCCCTGCATGGCTCTGGTGGCAGGTTGAGTAGGAACCTGCATGCCACCTATAGCCTCTCAGGAGGACTCATGGGATGCCAGCTGTGCCCTTCTCCTGACGTTGGTGCTGATGTTGCATCCGATGCCACCCTTGGCCCACTGGTTCTAGAAACAGGTCTCCACCTGGTTCGCATCTGCATGACTAGCCTTTGTCCCTAGGGGAAGCCCCCCTGAATCCTGGCCTGGGGGGATGGGCTCCAGGGGCCTATGGGAAGCCACACCCTCTCCTCTAAGGTGGCTCCAGGGCTAGTGACTGCAGCTGGAGGGAGCTTCCTGTCTGCTACCGTTGCACATAGCAGACCCAACACCGGCAAGCGGCCGGAAGTTCCCCTTGATATACCGGCCACCGGGGATGCTAACACACCTGGCTTGATGCCTGGGGACTAGTCAGGTGAGCAGCCCCTGGAGGGGGAAACAGCTGCCTGACAGGTGAGGCCATCATCTGCCTTAACAGGGATGCATCCCGCTCGGTGCCCTGCTGTGGCCCTTTCTGTGCTCACCGGATTTGCAAGTTTGTCATTATCAGCTGGCATGGTGCCCCCACCCCCTCCACCCTGCCCCGGGCTCCTCAGGTGGGAGGAAAATTCTCCCTGAAGGAGTTGCCTTCAAAGCTGTCCATGCGGGTCCCTGACAGCAGCCCTGGCAGCGGTTCAGTCACACAGGATGGTGGGAGGTATTTTTTATTATTATTTATGCAAAGTATAGACAAGGAGAGATGCGGTTTCACAGCACCATGTGACAGCAGCTTGGAGACTTGAGCTGCTTGCGGCCCAATGAATCAGCCGTGAGCTGCTGCCAGAGGCTCGGGCTCCTGGGCGGCAGCTGAGGTCGGGGAAGCCAGCGCCTGCCCGGCCCCTTCCAACCCGATGAGCTCATGCTGGACGCCGGCCCGGCAGGGCTGAGCATGTGCCCCTCCGGCCCTCGGGCACCTGGAAGCCGGCGCTGGGGTGGCGGGAGTGCGGGGAGGAGGAGGCACCCTTTGTGATGGGTGGAGACCAGTTATGTGTTTGTATATGTATTTGTAGTTTTATTTCATTCTTAACTAACAAATAATAATTGTACATATTTATGGACTACACTGGGAGGTTCCAATCCATGTATACACTGGGGAATGATTAAGCCAGGCTAACTGGCAGATCCCTCACCTCAAATAGTATCGTTTCTTTGCAAAGGGAATATTTAAAATGCTCCCTTTTATCATCTTGTAATTGCCTAAGAAAAAAAAAATTAAAAAAATAAATAAATAAAATGCTCCCTTTTAGCTATTTAAAAATGTACATTATTATTAACTACAGTCACCTGGCTGTGCAGTAGAGCACCAGAACGTAGTCCTCGCATTTAACTGTAACTTTGCACTGGGTGACCAGAGTCTCCCCCTCCCTGTCTTGCCCCAACCCCGCTTCTGGCAACCCCCATTCTACTCTCTGCTTCTGTGACTTCGACTGTTTTGGATCCCACATACTAGTGAGATCGGATGGCATTTGTCTGTGCCTGGCGTATTTCACTCAATATAATATCCTCTAAGTTCATCTATGTTGTCACAAATGACAGGATTTCCCATTTTTTTAAGGCTGAATAATGTTCCATTGTGTGTATATACCACATTTTCCAAATCCATTCATCTGTTGAGGGACTCAGGTTGTTTCCGTATCTTGGCTATTGTGAATAGCGCAGCAATGAACGTGGGGGCAGGGACGTCTCTTCAGGTACTGATTTCAGTCCTTTGGGGGATAGACCCGTAGTGGGATTGCTGCGTTGTATGGTACAGGTACTTCTGTTCTTAGTTTTTCGAGGAATCTTCATACATTTTCCAAAATGGCTGTACTAATTCCCAATACCACCAATAGTATTTAAGGGTTCCCTTTTCTAGGCATCCGTCCTTGCCAACACTTGCTCTCTCATCTTTTGATAATAGATGTGAGGTGATATCTCCTTGTGGTTTTAATTTGCATATCTCTGATGATTAAAGATATTGGGCTCTTTTTCATAAACTTGTTGGTTATTTGTATGTCTTCTGAGAAATGTCTATGCAAGTCCTTTGCCCTTTTCCAAATAGGGTTATTTGGGGTTTTTTTTTATTATTATTATTGAGTAGTTTTGAGTTCCTTGTATATTTTGGATATTAGCCCTTTACCCAGTGTATGATATGCAAATATTTTCTCCCACTCTGTGTGCTGTCCCTTCACTATATGAACTATTTCCTTTGCTGTACAGAAGCTTTGTAGTTTGATGTGATCCCATTGTCTGTTTTTGCCTTTATTGCCTGTGCTTTTGAGGTCATATCTAGGAAATCTCTGCCCAGACGCATCCCCTATGTTTTATTCTAGGAGTTTTATAGTTTCATGTCTTACGTTTAAGTCTTTAATTCACTTTTGGTAGATTCTTGTGTAAGGGGTGAGTTAAGGGCCCGTTTTCATTCTTCTGCATGTTGCTATCCTGTATTCCCAACACCATTTATGGAAGAGATTATCCTTTCTCCATTGTGTGTTCTTGGCACCTTTTTTGAAAATCAATTGACTATAGATGTGTGAGTTTATTTCTGGACTCTCTGTCCTATTCTATTGGTTAATGTGTGTTTTTGTGTAAGTGCCATGCTGGTTTGATAACTATGTAATATATTTTGAAATTCAGTACTATGATGTCTCCAGCTTTGTTTTTTTTTTTTTTTTGGTTAAGATTTGCTTTGGCTATTCAGGGTCTTTGGTGGTTCCATACAAATTTTAGGATTGCTTTTTCTATTTCTGTGAAGAATGACATTGGAATTCTTACAGGGATTACATTGGATTTGTAGATCACTTTGAGTAGTATGAACATTTTAGCAATATTAATTCTTCCAATCCATAAACACAGGATATCTTTTCACTTATGTGTGCCATCTTCAATGTCTTCAATGTTTTATAGTTTTCAGTGTATAGATCTT